CCTCCAGCAGGTGGAAGCGGGGGCGGGGCGGCGAACGCGAGTAGTACGGAGGAGGTGGCACCTCAGCTCTCTCCGGAGGAATTGGAGCAAAAGAGAATTTTGGAGCTGGAGAAGCACTACCATCGACGACGATGCATCGCACAGGAGATCATCCAGACCGAACGCACCTACGTCGGCCATCTCTCGGATATCGTAGAGGTACCTTCCGCCGTCTTTTTGCGTCTATCCTACCCTCCTCGTTATACTCCCCTCGTTGAGCGCTCTATTCGCTGCGATTGGCCGATGCGGCTTGATCCTTGACATTCGCCCTCCCCCCCAAAGCTCTATCTGCGACCAATGGAGCAAGGAATCAAAGCGGGCCTCGAGAGATCGCCACCAGCGAAGATAGGCAAGGAGATACCCTCCGAGGCCGATTCAAAGGTACCCCAGCCCTCCTGGCCAAGCCCAGACGTTAGCAGGCCCTAGTCCCTCCAGGGAGATGCTATTTGATATTATTTGTTAGAGTTAGCGCCTGTGCCACTATTTACCACTACTCTTCTCACTGTCACTTTCGCTATCATTCGTGTCCGCAGTGCTGTTTGTGTTCATCCTGGACATTTACGACCTGAACAAGAAGTTCCTGGGCACCATCGAGCAAATGGTACCGCACATCGAGCAGCAGCATCACGACGAGCTGCAGATGGGCGGGGCCTTTGAGGACGTGGTACGTCATTCTCTCTACACTCTCTGCACCATCAGGTTGACGTGTGGCGCATTGTAGCATACTGATGCCGGCTCTCTCCACACCGAATGCAGACCGCCTCGTTCAAGTTGTACTCGGCCTTTGTCAACAGCTACGACAAGAGCCTGGACGCCTTGGGGCGGGTAGAAGCCACGCGGCTGTGGGCGGAGATCATGAAGAAGGTGGACAACCTTGTCCGCGATGAGCGACCGCTCACCTTTGAGACCCTGCTCGTTACACCCATCCAGCGCATCCCGAGATATCTTCTTCTACTCAAGGTGACCACTTCCTCTCTGGCTTGCGATTCATCTTTTCAAGTGTCTGGTTGAACCAACCGACTGACGCCATTGAACAACAGGACATGCTGCGACACACGCCGGCCGAGCATCCTGACTACGAGAAGCTGAGCATCGTGCTGCCAAAGATGGAGGAGGTGGCCAACTGGATCAACAACGAGAAGAGCAAATTCGACAACCTCACCATCATTCAGACACTCTCAGATACAATCTCCGGCTACGAAGACGTAAGTTGTCAATCCTGCTTCTCGATGTCGTTCGTCCATCAGTCTTTTTGAGCTCACCGCTGTTGAAACACTCCACACCGCAGTCATTCCTGAAGCTCGGCCGACGGTTCCTACGCGAGGGCCTACTGTCGCAGTACATCAACGACTCCATGCGGTCCAAGCAGCGCTATTTATTCCTCTTCTCCGACATCATTCTTCTTACGCAGCCGCGCCGTGGGAGTGCCATGCCCCTCCTCAAAAAGGCCGCGCCCAAGTACGACCCCCCCCATTCCTCTACTACCTCTCTCTGTGTTGGCCGCGGGTGAGCTCACCTGGTCGCGTGTCGTGCGTCGTGTGTACCACTAGGTACCAGTTCATGGCCTCCGTGGAACTCGAGCGCTGCAAGGTGTTCGGGCCAGCCGAAGTCTCGGTTCCAGGCACGTGATCAATGGTGACCTGCGTATCACCTAACGATTGGCATGACGTGCTGACCGCGACGTGGGGCACTCTACACAGGGGCGAAGCATGCGCTCAAACTGTTGTTGGCGGACGGCTCGTCGTGGATCCTCCACAATAGCTCCGAGCGCGACGTGACCAGTTGGTACCAGTCTCTCAAGGAGGCCATCGACGAGGCCCAGGCCTCCATGATTAGCAAACACCAGGCCCGCGCGACCAGGTACTAAGCGCTACTCAATCGCACCTCCTCTCACAATGCGAAGGTAGTGTGTAAACTAACCACTCTTTTTCGCAACAGACTGCCCCAGTTGCGGATGTCTCTAACAGAGGGCGATGAAGACGAGGATGAAGTGGTGGGCGGAGTGTCCAAGTACCACACCCACCGCACGACTACGGTCACAGAGCCCGGGCAGCGCGCGCGGTCGGCCACCGGGTCGGTCGAGCTCCCGCCGATGGCGCAGTCGCCCGCAGCGCTGCGGGGCGGCTCGATCCCGCCGACCCCGACCCTGCCGCCACCCCTCGATCTGCCCTCCCTGTCCTCGACCCTAGGCCACCAGCTCCCGCGACCGCAGCTGCTGCCCTTTGCCCTCCCCGTCTCGCCCCAGCGACCAAACCGCCACCGGCTGCAGCCGGTGTCCCTCTCGTCCGACAACGTCGACACGGCGCCGAGTGGTCAGTCGTCCACCCTGTCCTATTCCTCCACCTCCTTCTCGTCGCTGTCCTCCAGCAAGAAGCTCTATCGGCGCACCCTGTCTGAGCTGCTGGCCTCGCAGATCAGCGACAGCCAACGCCAACAGCACCAGCAGCCACAACAGCATCACCAACAGCAGCAGTCGCACGCGGGCACCTTCAGCCAGAGCGGAGGTCGACACACCAACAGTAACAACAACCACAGCCCCCACAACAACAACAACCATCACAACAACAACCAGAGCCCCAACAGCAACAGCCCCAACGGCGAGGCCAAGAGGATGGGGATGAGCGGAGAGATCGCAGTGCTCGGCAGCGGCGAGCGAAGGAACAGCAGCAGCATCCCGGCCGAGCTCAAAGAGGGCATCAAGCGCGGCCTCGCCAAGCAGCAGTCGATGTCGACGCCCTCCTCGCCCGTGCCCACGCACCTGTCGTCATCATCGCCCACCGCCCCCTTCCTCTCCCCGGCCAGACGAAGCCGAAGCAGCGGCCGCGACGACGAGGCCGAGTCGGGCTCGCCGGGCAAGTGGCCGGCCCCGCGGCGCACCGTCGGCCCGCCCACGCCCGAGGGCGGGGGTCTGGTGTCGCGGCGAGAGATGGCGCGCATGCTCGAGGTGTCGCTGAACCTCAACAAGGACCTCAAGAAGCGGGTCTGCCAGTCGCCCGGTAAGAAGGAGCTGGACAGGAGTACATAACAAACACCACTTGGCTGCAACACCACAACAAGATTATTTAAAAAACACATTCAACACCACCATCGTGATCTACTTGAGCACGGAAGGAGGAGGTTGGCACGGGTTCCTCTATTGGGTACATTGGTCGATTCAGTAAGTGGGGGGGGGAGGCCTGGTCCCTGCTTAGTTGGCCTGGTCTTCCTCCTCCTCCTCCTCCTCGTCGTCGTCTTCTTCTTCCTCCTGGCGGAAGCCGTTCGACCTCTGCTCCATGGATCGCTTCATCTCGTCCTTCCTTTGCTGCAGACACGCCAAGTCCAGCTCATGCAGTTTTTTGAGCTGCTCGCTGGCGGCCCGCTCAGCACGGAAGGCCTCCCTGGTTGGTGTCCACACATCATCATGCAACACATACATGTTATCGGCATGCGTCGCTTGTGCTGGTCAAGGGTTCTGCGCGGCGCCGCACCTGAGCTTGTGAAGGAGCTCGCTCCTCTCCCACTTGTATAGCTGTTCCCTGAAGCCAGCGTTCGGGCTCACACCGTTCTAGAGAAGCCAGGCGCGTGTAAGAGGAGCGCTGGGCTGACATGATGATGACGGAGGGGAAGGGGTACTCTGGCGAGGGCCAACTCCTTGTAGGCGGTCTCGAAGTCCATCTCCAGCCAAGTCATCATGTAGGCCAAGGTGATGGTGGAAGATCTCGAGATGCCTTCAGGCGAAAGGGAGCATTGTGAGAAACGGGAATGGGAATTATCAAAAATCAGGGAAATTGGGCTGTACCAGCAGCGCAGTGGACATAAACGCGTCCGCCTTCGCTTCTGGCCTTGTGTATGAAGTTGGTCGTTTGCTCGAAGTACTGGAAGAGGTCTGTTGTCATCACATCGTCGACATCAAGGTGAATTTTGCCTTTGAGCTCGTGTCGCGGGCTCATGTCGCAAATGGACACGACATGAGTGACCTCCTTCTTCTTGAACCAGTCCGGGTTGTTCACCACGTCCGCCCCACCCTGAATCAGCGACTCTCCCAAGATGTGCGACGGCGCTCCTCCCATCTTTCTGTCCTTTTCGATTCAATCTTTTCCTCGTGGGCTTAGGCAATAACACCGACAGCTGACGTCAGCATGTGCAACATTTCAACTGAAATAAAATAAAAAAACATCATAAAAAAGACACAACATGTGGGAGCTCTGGGCGTTGGTGGCTGTGGGAGCGGTGGTGGTCGCGATCCTCTTCGTCGTGGTCACAAGCTCCAAGAGTGCGAACGAGGCCTCGCACCCCGTTGTGCACAAGCGATGGACTCCTTCCCACGTCGCGGTATCTCGCCATTTCCGATTCCATTTTAATCTAATCCAAATTGATTTCTAATTCAAATGGTGTAGACCCAGAAGACCGGTCGCAGGTATCTGGTCATTGGCGGCCACGGCTTCCTGGGTACCTCTTCATCTTCATCTTCTTCATCCTCATCATTTCATCAGGCTTTCATGCCAACCACGACTAAAGGGTCGCTGTCCCTGTGCAGGGTCGCACATTGTGGAGGCCCTGCTGGCACGCGGCGAGAAGGACATCTGGGTGTTCGACGCTTCGCCTTCGCCTCTCTTCGAAGACGAGCGCAAGGTGACGTATCATCATTCATCATCAGACACACGAACACACGCACGCACACAACGCACGCTACAAGCGAAGGTCGCCACTGACCTCGGTGTGCTGTTGTGCCTTCGTCTTGGCTGGTCTTGTCTGATCGTGCAGGTCAACTTCATCCGCGGTGACATCCTGAACAAGGACCACCTGCTCAACGCCTGCTACGGCCGCGATGTCGTGTTCCACACTGCTGGTGGGCTTATGACACCACACACCACACACCACACACACCACACACACACACCACACACGACACCGCACACGACTCTCCGAGCTTGCGCTCATTCACTGCTTCTTCTTTCAGCGCTCGTCAACTACTGGTCACGCTTGAAGCACGACTACGACAAGATCTACAAGGTCAACTACGTGGGCACCAAGAACGTGATCGAGGCGTGCCGCACGGCGTCTGTCAAGAAGTTGATCTACTCGTCCACCGCCTCCATGTTCGTCACCGCTGGTACTGGGCACTCACTGCGCGCACGCGGACTAGGGCGGAGAGTGGAGGGTGTTGGCTCACCTGGGTCGATTCAACCAACCAACCAACCAACAGAGACGCTGAAGAAGCCCATCCGGGACCAGAGGGAAGACACCCTGCTCTACCCCGAGGAGCCCCTGTGCCACTACACCCACACCAAGATGCTCGCCGAGAAGGTACATTCGTTTCTAATTTTACTATCATTAATCATCGTCATCATCTGTTGTTGTTGTTGTGTAGAGATCGGATGCAGCTACTTACGAGCGTTGTGTCGCAGTTGGTGTTGGCTTCCAACGGCTACAGTGGCGTTCTCACCGCGGCCATCCGACCCAACGGCATCTACGGCCCACGTGACGCAGTACTCCCCTCTCCCTCGAGCTCCGTGTGTCGTGTGTCGTGTGTCGTGTGTGTGCATCCATTTCGTTGCAATCCCTGGAGGGAGCTCACACGAGAGCAATCGGTCATGGCGCAGCTCATCGGCGGGGTCATCGCCACCGGAGCGCCCGGCATCGGTCACGTCAACAACAAGCAGGACTACGTCTACGTCGAGAATCTGGTCCACGGCTTCCTCAAGCTCGAGGAGAGCCTCGCGCCGGGCTCGCCCGCCGCCGGCAAGGCCTACTTCATCACCGACAACGAGCCCCTGGGCTACTTCGACTTCAACTCCAAGTTCAGCGGCTACTTCGGCAACGAGTTCAAGCTTCTCCCGCGACTCGTGCCCATCGTCCTGTCCTACGTCGTGGAGACCATCGCCTGGCTGTCCAAGTACGCCTCTCTCTCGCCATTACGCCACCACCACCGAGCGTTTGACTGATTTACGGCCGTGTGCGTGTGTGTGTTGTGTGCGTGTGTGTGGTGTCTTCGCTTACAGGGGGAGGATCCCGCTGGGTCAGCTGCAGATCCTCACGCCCCCCACGATCGTGATTGCGAGCTCGGAGTACTACTTCTCCACGGAGAAGGCCCAGAAGGACCTCGGCTGGAAGCCGCTGTTCACGGTCGACGAGGGCATGAAGAACACGGCCGAGTACTTTAAGTCGCTCAAGGAGGAGAACCGGATACGAGAGGGCAAGAAGGAGGGCAAGAAGAACAAGTAGTGGTGATGATGGTGATGGTACGCAGCAGGTCGGGAAAATATGAATAAAAAAATACAATACTGTTACACAATGTAGTGCTTGATGTTGATGAGGGTTGATGGTGATGGTGTTCAGACGTCTTCGGTCTTGGCCTGCGCAACGACGGGGGCGGCGGCGGGCATGGCGAAGAAGAAGGGCTGCGGCGGCGCCTGCATGTGGAGCGGCATGTAGTGGGCCGGCATGAACTGCATCTCCTTGGCGTCCGACCTGTTGATTGTGCAATGCACACGCACACAAGGTGATTAGAATGTGGTGGTGGCTGTGTGCGCACACGGGATTGATGGTGTGGCGTACGTGTAGAGCGGCTGGTAGGGCTGAGCCGAGGCGGCCTCCGCGGCCTCCTTCTGCTGGGCAGCCTCAGTCTCTACATTGTGACGCGGTAGGGTTAGCATCGTTGAAGAAGAAGTAGTAGAAGAAGAAGAAAAAGGGGAAGGGCACAAGCCATCATTGAAGTCGAGGTGATGATCACGTACGGTTCGAGATGTACTTCTGGACCTGAATGCCGATGAAGATGATGAGCAGGCCGACGGCGGTCAGGACGAAGGGGTACGACCACGAGTCGTAGAACAGGTCGTTCGTGAGCCAGAGCACGAAGGCGGCCTCGCCCAGAGAACCGAACACGACCAGGCTCTGGCGGTTCGCCAGCGCTCCACCACCTGTGCAGACCGGCCAGTCGTTGAGAGAAGCTGCCAGCTTTGAATCAAATCTTTGTAAAAGATGGATGAGGGCATACGATGTAGAGGGCCGAGAAGATGGCGTAGCCGCAGTTGTAGGGACCGAGCAGGGCGGAGCCGATGCCGAAGAGCCAGGTGAGAGCGCCGAAGCTGGAGGCGGTGCCGAAGAGGTAGAGCCAGAAGCCGTAATCCTGCTTGAACTTCTGGCGATCGATTCCGAAAGCGACGGCGTCCATCGCGAGACCGAATGCAAAGGACAGCAGGCAGATCTGCGTCACGGAGGGATGGTGCCAGATGGCTTGGGACAGATCGACGGTGGACATGCCATAGAGGCCGGCCGCGATGGGGGCTGTGAGGAACGGGAACCGGATGAAGTAGAAGGCAAGCGCGCCACCCGCCACAAGCGTCAGTTCGATCAAGATTCCACCACTAATCGGCCATTCGTTGAAGTAGCGCTGGGCGGCGTAGGTGGCAATGGGCGCCACGGCCACGGCGATGGTGACGAAGAGGCCGCCCACCGCTTGCGGGACGCCGTACTGCGCCTGCCCATCGAACCACAGCTTGACGCCGCCCGCGCCGAAAACGGCACTGTAGGCCAGGGCCAAGAAGAAGAGGAACTCGCTCGACGCCCACACGACCGTCATGAACCAGCTGAGGGCGCCGATGATGAGCAGCGAGCCGGCGTAGAAGGCCACCTGCGCCAGGTTGAGGTTGCCCCTGCCCTGCGTCCTCTTGACAAGGGCGGGCCACAGCGCGGTGGCCTCGTTGGGCGCGACCAGGCCCTGCTGGGCGGCCCACGCCAGGTCGCTTTCCTCCACATAGATGTACGACATCGTTGTTGTGCAGCTATCGTTTGTTGTCTGCCCCGACACTCTTTTATTATTTCATGGTTGATCCCTTGTCTGACAATACGCCGACACCTTTGCTTCGCCGTTCTGCGAAGGGACTTATTTTTTCACATTTTCGTAATACATTACTGGTTGCTATGCAACAAGAAAGCTCAACAAGAACGACTCTGAGGCCCAACCAAGGCTGGAGGAGATGTAGTGTTGCATTGGCGAAAGGGGCGAGGTTGGTGGTGGAGGTGTAGCCACCAAACACACATGGGAGAGAGGGAAGGGAGAGGGAGGAGAAGAGGCTGCAGCTGTTCGATTAACCGCGGTTCATGGGCGGGAGGACCTTGTAGATGCGGACGAGCCAGTGCTGCGTGGTGTAGGCCTCCTCCAGGTGCTCGAGCTCGAAGTTCTTGTTACCGATCTCCACATTCCTCACACGATCGTAGCCTTGGGGTTGGCCTGAAGATGATAATAAAAAAAAAAGCAAGCGCGAGCGAGGGTGAGTCGACCAGTCAATGCAAGCTGAACAAGACATGATGGTGGATTGTTTGGGTGGTGGTCGTACCCTGCTCGGTGTAGACCTGGCCGAAGCGGTAGTAGCAGAGCTTGTACATGAGACAGTTCAACATCTTGTCCGAGCCGTGGCGGTCGATGGTGAACCTAAGAGTAGAAACCGGGCGTTAGGTTTCTTTCAAGGTTGAGTGAAGGGAAAAAATGCAGGCCTTTGACACGACGTACCTCTTGTCCTTGGAGTAGTAGTCCTCCTCCTTGATGCTCGGGTCGGTCGAACCACCGATACGGACCATCCACAGGAACTTGTTGATGTCGTCGGACGAGTAGCCGGTGAGACCGCCGAAGATGACCAGGACGTAGTTGACGTCCAGCTTCTGCATGACATCGTAGGCGACGTCCTCGTAGGCCGACATGGCCTTACCGACCTGCGCGATATGACTGTTGTTCCACGTGTTGTTGTCCACGATGACCGTTCGATTGGCCATGGCGCTGAGCTGGTAGCCGTAATCCCACCAGGACATAACCCTGGCGTCCTCCTTGGTGTTCTGCCTGAGCCAGTAGTAGGCCTCACGGAAGTCGTCGAAGATGATCTTGCTGCCGCCGTGGCCGCGAGCAGCCAGGACGATGGAGGGCGACGAGTAGGCCTCGGCGGTAACCTGAACAAGCATCACCAAAGCAACCAAGCCAGAAGTCAGAAGAAAGAGAGAGAGAGAGACGTGTTTGAAGGCTCCCACGAGATGCAGCGAGCCGAGGCGGCGGGAGGGTACCCAGGTGCAGTGGAAGGTGTAGAAGATGAGGAGGATGCTGATGCCGGTGATGACCACCCAGGCGATCTCCTTCTGTCCGGCGTAGACGGCCTCGCCCTTCTTGGGCTTGGCGCTGGGGCTCCTCTTCAAGAACTTGGAATAGGTCTTGAGGGTGGTAGAGATGGCAATGGCCGAGAGGACGCAAGCGATGGGGGCCAACACGAGCATCAAACGGACCATCACACCCTGTCGGCGCATGGTTCAATGGAAAGAGAAGAACCGAGCGTGAGCTTGACAAGTCTTGGTGGCAAAAGAACGCGGCCTTGCGAAGTACGTACAGAGAAGTACACGCTGGTCACGCCATAGAGGATGGCGAAGATGTTGGCGTCGGTCAGCTTGCGGAAGCAGAAGTAGAGACCGGCGGGGAAGAGGAACACGAGGCAGTGCAAGTCGAAGAAGAACGAGGCCCACGTGGTAGGCTGGTGCTCGGAGACGGACGCGATGATGGGGATGTTGTCCTTGGCGTAGGTGGGGTCAAGGAGCGAGTAGAACCTGCCGGTCCAGGGCGAAATGTCTGTTCACGCGACAACGTTAAAGACGTGTGAGATCAAGGCCTGGCCAACTCTCTGTGAGAAACGAGCAGAGAAGAGAAGAGAAGAGAAGGCGTACAGCCGGTGTAGGTGCCGACGGCGACAGCGAGGGCGAGAAGGGCACCACCGGTGAGGATGGCGGTCCTGAAGATGATGCGGAAGGAGTCGGGGGGCAGGAACGAGCGCAGCCAGTTGATGAAGCAGTAGAGCTGGAGCAGACCAAAGACGCCGAGGGCGGCCATGTGCTCGGACGACTGGACGGGCTGGAAGCCGACGAAGTTGATCTGCATGGAGAGCAGAGTGCCGAGGGTGTAGACCGTGCAGTAGGCGACGTAGAGGCGGCTCGAGAAGCGGCCGGTGATCAGCAGCGTGAGAACGTGCAGAGGGATCAAGTTGATGATGAAGATGTAGCCTCCCCACGCGGACACCATGTAGAAGTAGGACAGCGAGCACATGGCAGCCCAGAAGAGCGAGCCGGTGTTGACAGACTTGACCCAGCAGTAGTAGGTGAGGATGAGGGCGAAGATGGCAATGCCTTCGTTATCAAACGAACCAGCGACCGAACGCGAGATGTAACCTGATTGAGACAGAGAAAAGGATGATAGATGTAAGTGCCCCCGCACCACCCAACGAGGAAGAGTTCACTTGTGGTGGGGGCTTACCAGGAACAACAGCAATCATAGCTGCCGCAACGAGACCGGCCGACTTGGAGTGAATCTCCTTGGTGAAGAAGTAGGTAACGATGGCAGTGTTCGAGGCGAACCAGGGGGCCAGCAACACGCACACATTCCTGATGTCGATGGTGATGTTGAGGGCGTGGAGCACGTGGTACACAGCGCCCGCAGTGAACATGAGGCCTAATGGAAGAAAATCGTGAGCCAGGCGATCCATTTGATCCCAATTGTTGATTTCGAGCTAAAAATCGAAGGATTTCAGAAAACGAACCTGGGTACACGGTGCCACCCACGATACGGCCCAGAGGATACCACGCGCCCTCATCAAACCAGTTCAAAAACTCGTAGATGCCCTCGTACACGAGGTACTTGGTAGAACGGAAGTTGAAGTACCTGTGGTGGTGCGAAATTGCTACAATGGTGAGTGATGGATCAGCAGCAAGAATGGCAGCAAGGTGGAGTGCGCCCGTACGGATCGAACTCGTGGATTACGCTCTCGAAACGCAGCACCGAGAAGAGTCGAGTGGCAAACGCTGCAAGTACAGAATGCCGAATAAGCCCAGCCCCAGCACAGATCACACAGGGGCGAATTACACTGATGAGGCAGGGATGAAAGTGGAAAGGGGGCGCACCATCGATGTAAATGAGAGACAGCGCGAGCGCAGTCAACAGGACGCCGTACTTGGCCTCGGGGATCTTGAATTTGAAAAGGCTGCCGAAGCCTTCCGTGGCTGGCGTCACCGGCGAGGACCTCCTCTCCTCCACGGTCTTAGTGGACGACATCTCGTCTCTCTTGCGATGTACAAGATCGATCCAATTCGCGTCAGTGCCCACCGCTGGTGTCTGCGTCAGAGCAATGTTATCGCGTCCGGTAATTTCTGGGCGTTGCTGGATGCGTGACGTCACCAAAAAGAGAAAGAAAAGCAGATTGCTGGCGCTACAACAACAGTACATTGCATCCCAGCCTACCCCCCGCCGACACAGGTGATTGATCCGTCTTGGGCACCTTCTCCCCTCCTAAACATCCTTGCTGACGGAGGCAGGTCTCGCATCACACCCCCCGCCCCCTCAAAATCTCAGAAAATGGCGACGTTTGAGGACTGGTACAAGAGCGTGCCCTTGGTGACACGGACGTACATGACCCTGTGCTGCCTCACTACGCTGGCGGTGCAGCTTGAATTCGTGAGCCCCCTGCAGCTCTATCTGAACTTCAACGCCATCTGGCAGCACTACCAGGTATGCCACACATCTGTGTAATACTGCGTTGCGGCACTGCAGCTCCTATACTGACCGTGCATCTTCCGCTCCTGCAGTTTTGGCGATTAATCACAACGTTCTTGTTCTTCGATTACTTCAACTTGAACTTCGTCTTCCACATGTTCTTCACGTGCGTACACCTCCCCGCTGGTCAGCGGTTGCGGCGGTGGCGCGAGGATGGCGTTACTAATGTACAGGCCATCATGACGCGACATACAGCTATCAACACAGCAGACGCCTGGAGGAGGGATCCTACCGCGGCCGCACCGGCGACTTCTTTTTCCTGTGGCTGTTCTGTGCAGTCCTTCTAGTGGTTCGTCCCCTCAACATTCATGGCGCATTCGTGCTCGTAGCTCTCTTTCTCGCTGTTCTGAATCACCTCATCTGGCTTCGTGTCCCTGTGCGTATGTACAGTCGATTCAGTGCGCCATGTACTGGATCCCGAAGGCACCTTCTCTCCTCTTCCTCGCGCCCTCGCTGGCCTTTGCCATCGTATACGTCTGGAGCAGAAGGAACACCAATGTCACGATGAGCTTCCTTGGGCTCTTCACCTTCACCGCGCCCTACCTTCCCTGGGTTATCCTCGGCTTTGGTAAGCTTACCCCCCCCCTTCTCTGTGCGCGTGTTCGTGTCGTGTCGTGCGTGTTCGTGCGTCATGTGTCGAGTCTTCTGTTGGCTCAGACCTCGTGTTTGTTCGGTCAGGCGTGATGCTGGGCCAGAGCCCCATCTACGATCTCTTGGGTCTTGGCGTGGGTCACATCTACTATTTCCTCGAGGATGTCTACCCCAACATCTCTGGCAGACGCCTCCTCAAGACTCCCGGATTCATGTACGCGCACCCTCAACTCAGCCACATGTCCCACCACCTCTGCTCGTCAACGTTGGCTCAGCGCCGGTTCTCATGCGAATCTTCCACACCACAGTCAGTCGTTCTTCGATCAAGTTGAAGTGAGAGAGGCTCGGCATTTGGGTGAAGGGGAGCACCTCCACGACGATTGAGGTGCTCATGCAAGCTTCCGCTCGCTGTACAAAAGCTCTTCTCCAAGCTTCACTGAGCGTGACACTTCAGCTTAGCGAAGGAAAGAGAAGAGTGTTTTTAAAAAGCACAGAAAGAACAACATGTCAGGACAAACGTATGTGGACATCCTCATGGAGCCGGGCGTCTTGGCACACGCTGCTGTCATCCAGGGCGCCGATGGGTCGATGAAGGTGGGCGGCCCTTCGGCGGCGTCCGCCGGCTTCCGAGTGTCAACGGGCGAGGCCCAGACGCTGGCCAACGCGTTCAGGAACAGCAGCCACGTCCAGTCCGGTGGCTTCCAACTCGCCGGCGTTCACTACGAAGTGGTGCGAGCCGACGCCCGCTCCATCTACGGCAAGCAGAGGGGTCCGGAGGGGGGCGGGGTCATCGCGGTCAAGACCGACAAGGTTTTCCTCATCGGCACGTACGATAAGAGCGAACAGCACGAGACTGCCGCCAGCGTCGTGGAGTCACTGGCCGACCCACTCATCAGCCAGGGCGAATAAAATAAATCTAGTTCTTTACCACTGGCCCAAAACAACATTATTTTTTATTGCTCTTCGCCCATTGGTCGTGCCCTTTCACGTGAACGTTGTGATTAAAAAAGAATGAAGCGAACGAAAAACGAGCCCGACCACACCAATCCAAAGATCTTGAAGAACGACTTGAGCCAAGAGAGCGATGGTGTTGAACAAGAGAGTGGTAAAAGGGGCCGAGTCCCATGTGGACTTGGGTACGTGGCCTCCATGTCCGACAAGGCCGACCTGCACCAGGCCGTGCGCCACCAGACCATGGCGGGCATCCTGGGCCAGCTGTCCACGCTCCTCTCCTACGCCAACGAACTCTACGCCGACCTCCACCGCGAGCTCTCCAACGACGCCCAGCGCATTTCGGCCCTGGCCGCCCGCACCCAGGCCGCCTACGATTATCTGCCCCATCTCGAGACCTACATTCACAACACGTACGCCCCCCCCCAAGATTAATATTTTAAATCCTCCCCTCCAATTCAATCGACGACTACTCACATCAACAATCAATTTTGAATTGAACGTTCACGATGAACGTGTAGTGGTCCCGAGGAGTTCATCAACCGCGGCGGTAGCGAGTACAAGCAGAAGGGCGGGGAGGATTGCCAGCTGCTGTCGCCGGGCACCAGGGCCACGGCCACGGTGGTGGTCTACGACACCGAGTGCGTGCCGCCGCCCGATCTCTCGCCGCTCGATCCCTATCGCGAGGATGGACGTCCGTGCATCAAGGATTACACCAACCCGGCCTTCTTCGTCGAGGAGTGGATCGCCGAGCAGAAGCGCCAGGCCCAGGAGGCCCGTCGTCGTCGCGAGAAGAGCCGCAAGACCAAGCAAGATGAGCGCGGCGTGTTGAGGCGCGCCAACGAGGCCGTCGAGGTCAAGAAGCTCAAGAAGACCCGCTACAACCAGTGGGGCGAAAAGATTCAAGATGGGGATGACGACGGCGCCGTGGCCGCCCCCTCGCGCGAGGCCACCAAGAGCGCCCCGCGCGTCGAGGCCACCACCGCCCCCAAGGAGCTCACCGAGTCGTCCAAGGGCCACAAGAAGCGCGAGAAGAAGACCCTCTTCAAGGGCAAGGAGAAGGAGAAGGAGAAGGAGCAACGCGAGAGCGAGCGCAAGGGCTCGACCGTCTCCCGCCCCCCGCCCCCTGCCGGCGCCCCCTCCCCGCGCAGCTCCGCACCCGCTGCGGCCCCGCCCCCCGCCGCC